ATAGTATATTACTGCTGTCTTATTTTGCTAAGTTTTCCCTGTTATCCCATAAAACTGCTACCGTCTCTGGTATGCAGGCAAGATTTATTAATTCTTAAGTTAGCTATCGCTCAATGTTAGGCAAATGCCTCAAATATTTTTTTAATTTATTTTTTTTAATTAATGGCAAAATAGCCATGGAGTTATTGTGAAAATTACACTTGTTTTGGGGAAGCTCAGGCTACTGTATGTCAGGGCATTGCTTTATAAGGAATGCAGGAAATGGTCTGACTTGTTATCATTGCTTCTGTATTTAGTGCTTGGACTCCAGGGAATTTTTGTGCACTGATTTGTGATAACTGTAAAGTATTTCTTAAGAACAAATTACCAAATAATATGTTCTGTGCTTGTTTAGCACTAGAACAAATTATAAATAGAATGTTAAAAGCCTTGGGTTTTTTTTTAAAAGAAAATTATTGTGCAACACATCTTAAGTAGAGAAGAATGTTAACATGTACGTGAGCAGATGGTGAGATTACCTCTGCTTACAGTAACAGGATTTATCTCTAATAAAGTCATCCCTTGCTCATTAAGATAGGAAACTAATTTAGATTTTGGGATTCTGTCCTGGTAGAGATGTTATATCCTGTATTGAGTCTCCTGAAGTTTCTCAACAGAAACCTATAAATTCCTCATTAGAAAAAAATTTCTTCATGGTTCAGTTTTATGTATTTGATAGAGTAGTTCATAAAGAAATATATTTTGGTTTTTATGTAAGCTTCTGTAAGTGAAGATCTGGTTTGAAATTAATTTCCATTCCATGTAGAGGCTTTGATCTGAAGATGGTCAGACGTCTTGCTGTTTCTTGGTTCTTGATATTAATGAAGTTTTGTTGCTGCGTATTTTTTTTTTTTAAAGAGCCTTTTACTCCTTTGAAATAATAAATAATGAGCAATACTCAATTAAATAAAATAACATAGCCATACACAGGTACTTGATGGAGCAAATTAACTTTAGACTCTAAGCACCTGTATTCAAAATTGCCACCAAGGAGGCATTGCTCTTAGGGAAACTGCTAGACTGGAGCCAGAGAAAGAGTTCTGCAGACTGTCTGATCACATCTGGTCGAATACTTAAAGAAAATATTGCTTAAAGTTAACTAGGTCTCACTGCAAGAGACAGATTGCCTTTCATCGAGGCTGCAGATAAGTCAGGTGGCTGAGATTTTTAGACCTGCTTTTAAACGAAGCACGCAGTGTTGGTGAGTTACTGCTAGGGCAGTGTAAATATGGTGACTTTATACAAAGTGTGTCCATTTCATTCCAAATTTAGGGGAGAAATAAGTGGTGTAGGAGACTGTGTTATCACTTCCAAATTTCTGTTATAATACCTTCAGTTGCTTCTAGTTTTCCTTTTTTTCTTTTCTTTTTTTTTTTTTTTTTTAAAAGAAGCATCTGACCCATTCTTTAAATGTTTGGAAAGAGAGCTGTGCTCTTGAAGGTGAATAGATTGGCAGCTGAAAACTGATTATCGCTGTTACTTAAAATAGTGTGCAGCAGTTGAGATGAGAACAACCCGGACTCTTTAAGGATTACTTCTAGGTCTTTCAATGAGTTCCAGTTGTTGCAAACTTCTCGTGAATTCCTATGGTATAGTCAGTAATGGTTCAGATATCTGTTGTTCCTGTTTCTGGGATTTGAATTGAAACATACTCTTCTGAGTGTTTGAGAGGAGTTCCCTGCTGATAGATGGTCCAAGTGGAATTTGCCTTTCTCTTTGGAAGTGTTTAGGAAGTTTTAGTTCTGCTCACTATCTGCCTTTGAACTTAGATGACTACAAAAGTCAGAAGTTGAAAGTGAAGCTCAACTTATGTGAAAATGTTAACTTATGCCGTGTAGTTACCATCTAAAAGAAGGTCTATCTTTATTTTAATGATGCTTATGCCTAGGGAGCTTTTCTTCTGATGTTTTATCATGTGAATTTACTGCTTAAAACTGGCATGCAAGATGAAGTTTTGCTAAAACTATCCTGATTTTATCAGATTTTTTTAAATCAGTTTTTAACCTCAAACTGTTTGAGAACAGTGTTCTGCTTATAAAACTTGACAGAAACTTATACACTGATTTGGTTTTAGAAGTCTCCCAAGGACAGAATTTAAATACAGAGATCAAATTAAGTGTATGTATGCTAATGGACTGTCTTCCAAAAATAAAAAAAATTAACCTTTTCAGATAACCACTAATATCCTTCTGTTTTGAATACTAGAAGTCACTGGATTTGTGTTTATGTTTGCAAGTGTGCAAGCATACACTGACAAAAATGCAGCACTGTAATGTGAAATTGTAAAATAAAGAAGCAATTCTTGAGCAGTTGGGATTCTCTAGATGTGATGAATGTGCTGCAGTAGCTGTGCGCCATGTTTCTGAGCGCGGAGGAATGCACGTTTATCTGCAGTCGTGACTGTGGAACACTGACTCCTTGTGAGTAGGAGACTGCTTGGTGAGTATGGAGTTCAAAGCTGTCAACTTCAGCAGAAAAATAAGGCTTCCTGCTTTTTTAAGGAGCCAGAGTTGTTATATATGGTTACTTTGAAGACCATATAATCCTGGTATTTTTTCCTTAAGAAAAATCACTTGCTGCTATAATTATCAAGCAGCACCAGAATGCATTGATAATCTTCAAAGCCGTAGCCCAAACAGTTCTGAATAGTCTCAAAGTATGATACTATTTTAGGTTTTCGACTAAAATTCAGGAAAAAAAATATCCTGCCCCTGTTTAGAATCCTTAGGCAACAGCAAGACTGTGAAAACTGCACTTACCTCATGCTGCTGCTGCTGCTTGGAAAAGCCAAGTAGGAATTATTGGGAGGATTTTGTAAGTCAGAGTGTTCTTGCATCTGAAAATTTGACGTAGCAATTTTAACCAGGCGTAAGTTAATAAAGAGATTAAAGCCTGCTTGGATATCTAGGCTGTCTGAGCAGTTGGTGTAAAGTATATTGGACTTCACATTAGGGTATTATCTGTGGCTAGTAGGCTTAGTCCATCTACAAAATATTCAGTACATCTTTAGGAGAAGGTTTAGCATGACTGTCCTGCTAATAGGAGGATAGTAAATAACCAAATGGCCCTAAAGGCCACGGCTGTGCTATAAATGGGACCAGGGACCTGCACTGTCTATAAAGGAACACAGCAAAAAAGTTTGGTGGTGGTTTTGGTTTTTTGTCAATTCCCTGACTGGGTTCAACACTCAGCTGTGCAAATAGGCAGTAGACAGGACAGGACTTCTTCCTAATGGCACTAGTTGTGGCTTTAATGAATGTCAAACTCTGTGGCTTAATATATTGTATGGAAAAGGATCCGGTGTCTACTTTTTTCTGTAGGTGTCGTGTGTCAAATATCATTGTCTCATGGAATGGATACATACTAGTAACCTCCAAAGCTCTTCCTTAAGACTTTATTCCCCAGAGTTTAGTTGTGTGGTTTTCAGGGTTTTATAACTTTGTTAGTCTGTCACTGTTTCAGTCTTTCTGAAGACACCCTCTTTCATTTAAATCTTGTCTTGGTACCTGTAACATCAGTTCTGGGTTAATCTTGCTTTGTAAGGGATTTCACCCGAGTTAATTTTCAGACTTAGCTGAAATATATAGAACCTCATTCCTTCACAATATAAGCCACTGAAATGAAGTAGATAAAACAAAAGCTTGGCTGGAGTCTTAAAGAATTTAAAGAATTTGTTAGAAATCTGTTAAGAATCTTGCTGTGTATGTGGCAAGTCCACAGAAGCACAGTTTGTTTAAAGCACATATCTCTGGTCTGATTCAAGGGGGGAAAAAAAAAATCTAATGGGTGTGAATAGCAAGGGAACATAAAGACAAACTTTGAGTTACCCATGTTACTTGCTGCAGAGAACCCTTTATATTTGTACGTTGTTGCATGACTTGAACCCATGATGATTTACATCTAAAGGGCTCATCTACTTCAGTGAAACTGTGTTTTAATGAGGATTGCTGTTTATGCAACTCTCCTAGCAGAAACTCATTATTCGTGATTTTATCTTGCTACTTGATATGCATACTAGCTGTTGCTGGAAGACATCTTATCTCCTGGACTCAACTCTAACCTGTCTGTGTGTAAAAGCTGTAGAATAAAGTAGAAATAATATTGAAAAATAACATAGTTCTTGTGGTACTCTCTTGTAAGATTATTTTAATAAAGAGGCATAGATATTGTAGTGAATATGGGAAGTTGTATAGTAGTACCTAGCACAAGGTTGCAACTGGAGAAATGTAAGATGTCATTTTCTTGGTGGTGGCCTTAAGCAAAAATGACCTTTCAGAGTGTCTTCCCTTACCTCGTAGTCAATGACACTTCCTTTAAGGGGCTGTTAAAGGGGTTACTTAATGAGCAGCTGTACTTCAAATTGCTTATTTTGCTTGTCCTAGAAATAGCATTTCATAAGCATTATTTCTCTTGTTAAGAGGGCAAAGTACAATAATATCTTCCAAAGGTCCTTCAGCATCGTTATGACCATTATAATCATGGTGCAGCAGTTTGATAGGTCTATCTTTTTTTTTAATGCATTGAAGTAAACTGGAAGTCCTCTTGATAAATAATGTGCTTTTATCAATGCTAGGTGTTTGTATAGTCTTTAGAATGATCTCTACTTCTGAGATTGAACCTAGCTAAGAATTGCTCAAATACGAAAACAGTTAGGTACCTGAATGTAGCTTTTCTGTGTCTTAGGTTTAGTGGTGGAAAAAGAAACTAAGTACTTACTCTACCTACTGGTTAGTACTAGTGAGAAAAAATAAATGGGTCTCGCGCAATTCCAGGGATGTGAATTTAATTGTGTGGCTTCTCTTTTTAAGTTTGACTCAAAAAAAATATTGGTGTTTCTAAAAAATTTTAGTTACTGGGCTTCTGAAGGTCATGTGCAACATTACCAGTTGGTGATGTATGACTTAGTAGTTCTACATGTATTATTACTTTTATGTGTTTCTAATGTTTCATTTCCTTTTCAGATCTGCTAAATCTATTCCGGAGCCAAGGGTGGACAACGAGTACAAGGGAAGTGTTGCTTCTTTAAATGGACATCTGCTCTTGCGGTATGGCCCAGATATCCAGTAGCAATGGATTTAAGCAGCGCTCCTCACCTTCTTTGGCAGCCGCCAGGTCAAAAGATGTGGACAAAGAGGAGGCGTTGCAGATGGAAGTTGAGGCATTGGCTAAGATGCAGAAAGAAAGAGGTGTAGCTGGTAATAAACAAACTTTTCATTCTTTAAGCAGCACCAGACAAAAAGTACAGACTCATAACAAACAGGACCATGATCTCATGGTGTTTCCAGAGTCTGATGCCAAGAGCATGGAAGATAAACTAAGTACCATTGACATAGAGAAGCTTACTCATGCTGAACTAGAGAAACTGCTGCTGGATGACAGTTTTGAATCTAGTAAAGTACCCACATTACCAGTGACTCCTATTTTGAGCCCATCTGTGTCTTCGCAATTTTATCTTGGGCCTACAGGTCACAGAAGACAGTGGACGCCTGGGATACCAGCACCTGTGACATGCACTTTACCTCCTGTTTACCCCTCAGCTTCTTACACAAAACAGACTGGTGTATTTCAAAATGGATTCCATCCAAATATGTCCTCCTATTACTCTAGAGAACCTATTTATCTTGGTCTTCCAAGACAGTCGCAATACATTTCATACCCATTGGCAGCTACTGCACCTTTCCATCCACAAGGAAGCCTACCTATATATCCTCCAGTACTTACACCAGAAATGGCAAAAGTATTTGACAAAATTGCAAGCACCTCAGAATTTCTGAAAAATGGGAAGTCAAGCACCGACTTAGAAATGACTGCTATAAAGTCTGCAGTTTCTAACCTACCAACCTCGGAAAGCTGTGGGGATGTTAGTAAGTTTGATTGGTTAGATTTGGATCCCTTAAGTAAACCAAAAGTGGACAGTGTGGAGACTTCAAATAAGGCAGAGAATGATGGAGAGGGGGCTTCAGGTATGACTGCTGAAGATCCATGGGATGCTGTTCTGTTGGAAGAAAAGTTGTTAGTAACTTGTCATCTGGAAAGAAAAGTTAATGGGAAATCTTCTGGAGCAACAGTTACAAGAAGCCAGTCCTTAAACATGCGAACAACTCAACTTGCAAAGTTACAGGGCCAAACATCACAGGTATGTAAATAAATATTTTTTAATTGCAGTACAATAGTAAAGATTAATCACAGTATTTAAAGACACTTTAAGGTCTACATTTGTTTGTTAAATGTTACTTGGCTTGAGCTGTGTCCAAATAATGTGATGTTACTGGCATACGTATGTATTAGTGATGGTCAGAAAATTGAACATTACTACTGAACTAAATCCCAAAGTAACTCTGGCCTTGTGTAATCTTTTCACATTTACTGAGGAAATTGCTGTTTTTCAACACACTACAAAAAGAAATGGAAATTATCTTTAGAACAATTGAGTATTTAAATCCTATTATAGATATTTAAATTAATAACCAATTCACATGGTACTACAAAATAAAAAGATAGTGAGTTAGACACTGAAAGCTTTATTTGAGCAGCCTTATCTCAGATTTTGAAAAAAAATCTTTTTTTTTTGCTTTATATTTGAACTTGTCAGCTTTTTGGAAAAAAACCAAAAAAAGTAGAGTAGAAAGGTGGCATACCCCAAACTCTTTTCTGCTTTCTCAGTAACACTTGCAGTCTTTGACAGGGCCACTATAATTCCCTTTCAGAGGTAGAAATCTTTCCTTCTGTGCAGAAATGCTAGAGAGATCATAACTGAACCTTTTGGTTATACTGTCCTGGAAAGTGGGGATGCCTATTGGGTCAGAAACCCTGTACTTGTGTTCTGGAAGAAGGAGAACCGTCTTTGCGTGATGTTACTTTTATCAGGCAGGGCAAAAGGGCGATTTGTGCTCTAGGATCAGGATCGCTTTCATCAAAATCTCAAGACAAAAATGTCACTGGAGGCTTTAGTTATGACACTCATCTTTTTGGACATTGAGCACATGCAGTTTGTACCAAAACTAAACTGCACAGCAGATGATCAATACTATCAATACAATACAAAGCAATCTCATCTGGTTAATTATGCCCCCAGAAGTGCATCCTACCCTTTTCCAAGTCCAGTAAATGACTGTAGATTATTTAAGTTTTCCTATACTTTAAAATTCTTTCTGTGATAATTCTGTCATAAAACAAGCCATTGAGTTTTAAAATATTAGTTACCTCACTAGAAAGTGAGTATGAATACTTCTGTATTTTTATTTTTTGGTAAAGAGAGTACAAAGACTGAAGGAGAAGTCTTCAGTGGAAAAGTCAACACCCTGGCAAGGGTGATAATGGCAGGAAAAATCGTATTTGTAGAAACTGGTTGGAGGGGAGTAAAAGATTTGTTTGCCTTGGAGACTTTGGATTGCAGCTGTTTTGAATCTTATGTATTGTCTTTCTAGGTGTTTTTCATAGGCTAGGAACATGCAATAAACCCCCAACCTGTTATCAGTCAAGGATATTTTCCAAATTGCTCCTTAGTTCTTCCCTCCCTTCCAAACTGGGGGAGTTGTTCTGTTTTGTTTTTTTTTTCTCATAAAAAGGAACATTTACTAGACTTTGGCTTAAAGGGCTGAATTTCCATTGAAGTGAAATTTTTGGCCCCCCGTTTGAAGGATTTCCTGTTTTTCTGGGCTAGTTGTCAGTATTCTGGCAAAAGTTTAATAGAAGGCCAGTGGAGAAGGACCAAAAAAAACCCTAAACCCAAAAAAACCCTTTACCTCTGCTTTTAAGGGAATGCATTTTTCACATCACATGTGTGAAGATCTTGGATCTAACTTAATTTCATTTTTTTCCATTGAACTGTGATATGTGAGCTCAGTTATTTCCTAGTATTTGGGGAGGCATGTAAATTTGGGCTCTACCAGAGTTTGCTTCTTCAGTTTGTCATGTTATCTAGTGATGTGTTTGTCAGTTTTCCAGTGATGTTTGGTTGGTTGTAATGTAACTATTGACTGGAATAGCTAGACTGTATTGGGTCAGTGCTTCAGAGGTAGTGTCTGTCTGTAAAAAGTAACATTTGACTGCTGCTGAATGAAGTGTGATTTTATAAATTCCAGGGTTTTTTTTCAAGAATGCAGGATTTAAAAGGGTCTTTCCTGTTCATCAGGTCCAGTCCCGTGCTATTTGCAGATCACATGTTGACTGATACATAAAATGCTCCAGCTTTGCCTTCACATGTGGCCTTTTACTCCTGCTACTTTTGATTTAAAGGCTGTTCCAGACCCTCACTGTCCCCATCAGTCATCTGTTTTTCTGCAGAAATGCATTCATAACTAGCTCTTAGCAAATGTTGTTCTTAACAGGATGGAACAGCAGGTATTTCAGATAAAGAACCTTTTTGATGTTTACCTCAATATAAGAGACAGTGACTTTCTCTCAGCTTTCATTGTAAACTCTGTGTGATAGCTTCTCTTTCCTGCCACTTCTGTGTTTTTTTTGAAGATGGCTTATGAGAATTTTAGTTCTCTATGTGAGAGTGCAATGTACCATGTGCCTTGTACAACTGGCATGAATAAACCCTCATTACAGGTAGGGGCATCCTGCTTGATACACTTTTATTGCATTTGCTTTATTTATGATGGCATCGCAATAGCACATACTGATTGTGTTGTCAGTTAATATATCTGATTTTCTTAAGCCACTATCTCTTTCGAACAAATTCTGAGTTTATAGCAGACTCCTGCAGTGAATACCCAATTGAAGGTTCAAGATTTACTTTCCACTTGTGTTCCTCCAGTCTGTGGTTAACTAATTTTGGCATAATACTCCAGTTCTAGCCTGCATTATAAAGTTAGCTGATGATACAAACCTGTAAATTATCAGCAGGGGTGCTTCTGCTGCTTATGCTGAGTTATTAAAGAAGATAATAAATAGATCTAAAGAAGAGTCTCTCAAACAGGTATCCTTTCAACATAACCTGTGGCTTTTGCTTTATCTTCTGCCCATCTAGTGCTGCTACTTTATTTTCTAGTTTAAATAATTTTCCATCTAGTATAGTAGGAAGCTGAGTTATTTAGCCTCTATTTTTGTCAGTTTTCTTGTATTTTATCCCATTTACCTCCAGGTATATATATCCTTCAAATTATATTCTCAAGTCTTGCATCGTAACTAGTCTGGATCAGTTTTCTTCCCCTGAGTAACTCATAGTCTTGCTGCTCCTTTAAGCAAAACTATTAGTAAAAATTTCTAGTCATATATTTTGATTCTATCATTATATTTAATCCCTTGAATCAATAGATTGCTTTGAGGTTTACTTCATATTTGATGAAGTATCTATATAATCAGCATCCCTCTTCAGTGTTTGTCACTGTCCTTTCTGAAAGCAGAGGCAAAATCATCATTTTGTCCTATTATAGGTGTCGTCTTCTCTACCTTTCCTCTCCACAGAGCTGAAAAGTCTTGTGGCTTTATATACTCATGGGATTTAACTTGACTTTTGGTAATTTACTGGGGTTTGGGTTTGGTTTTTATTGTTAAGAGTAATTGTATTTGCAGACCACTTCTATTTTTGCAGGCTGCACTGATATGAACTATTTATCTAGTTTGGCCTGAAGTCCTTTCTTACAAGTTATTTCCTGTTTGACTGATAGCTTTTGCACCTCCTAGATATGCTCATCTAGAAGTTAAAGAAATTCAAATCCTGCTTGTTGCTCAAAACACTAATTATCTGAGTCCACTGGATTTTGAATGGATTTCTTAGTTTATCAAAGCTTGTTCTCCTGAAATTATCTTCCAAAAAGTTATCAAAAATGAGCATTGAAATTCAACCAGAAAAGCAAGGAGGTATTTAATGTTCTTAATTTTCCACCAGCGTGTAATTTCCAGCAATACACACTTGAATTAACATTAGGTTTCTCTCCTTAGCCAAATCTGACCCTGGGGTCAACTATGGGTAACTAAATAAACTTTTTTTTTTTCTTGGCTCTTTACATTAGAATTTTATTGTTTACCCTGGCTAAGCTTGCATGTGTAGAAGTGCCATGTTCCCTAAATTTCTTGGAATTTAACAGCAGAACAACCTGCAAGTTTTGCTGTAATTCAAAAGTGTTACATAGTGGCATGAAGTAGCAATGTTGCATCACCGGTGTGACTTAATTCTAAGTAATCCCCTTGTGTATTGCTTTTGTACTCTGGTTAGAGTTGCAAAGTGCTTCCTTAAAATAAGTTCTTAAATAGAGAAAATTTAACATTTGTGTAGCCAGCTTCTTGATTTGAAATGATTGAGTATTGTGTTGAGTGCTGACCAGCAGTTAGTTGAATCTTTATCAAAGTTGTTTACCTTTTACTTGGTATGTTACCTTCCTGTTTCCTTGTATGATTTTTTTTTTTTTTTGTTATTGTGTAATTGTTTAAAGAACACATGTGCTAGGTACAATTGCACAGGTTTGTCAGCAGGTCTTGTGCAGTTGCCTGGAAGTATTTTTATGTGACAGAACTTGTCTGAGATACTAGAATGGAAGAACCTTTTCGAATTTGAGGTATTATGCATGCTCCTGAATGTCATTCCAGGGTTTGTGGCTTTACAGCTTCCTGCTCTAATTGCTTCCCATGGTATGGCTGATCCCCAATTATATAGAATTAATCTTTTTGAACTGATCAGTGTTCACAAAACCAATATTTTAGCTGAAATAACTAGGTTTAAATGCAATCCAAATGGCAATTATGGGTTGCGTATATTATTACTGCTTAAACAAGTTAGCCTGAGCGTAAAAAGTTCTAAAAGAAGACCTGATGGTACCTAGCTCTGCATGTTACAGATTTGACCCTGTTTCTGAGACAGACTAATTTGACTATAGTCTGATACGCTCTAATGAAATTAGATGCTCAGCTTTGTCAGCTAATAATAAATAACCCATGCACCAGTTAAGTAGTTATTCACTATTTCAAGTATGAACAAACTGTGATGATTTTCAGACAAACTGTAGTCCAGTTCGCTTTTTTTCCTGGACTTCTGGGTGGATGAAAGTCTTCTATAAGCATTGTAAAAGCTCTGGATGTAAAATGTAACTGGTCAGAAGGCTTTATCCTCTACGCCTAGGTTGGACATGATTAAAGTCTTCAAGATCAACTTATTCCAGGGAGGATCTGGCTGGAGTTTCCCGAGTACTGCAGGCTAGCCGTGGCTGTTAGACTACAGACCACTGGGTTCCACCTCAACCCCACTGGTTGTTCCAGCTCCTCTCTGCTGTTTGCTTATGCTGGCATTTGCATGGCTGTATTGTGAATTGGATCAGAAACAGATACGGATTAAAAACTGCTGCAGTTTTGTTGATGGTTTTTTTTTTAAGGTTTATTAGATGTTGTTGTTTGAAACTGCAGTTCTCTTTTTAGCAATTGTTTTTTAGATTGGATGCTTCAAAGATTGTGGTTTACGTTGTTCGGAGCTGGTGGGTGCATATGGCGTAAGGTATTAAAACAGCAGTAATTTGATACCATGAGATTAGTTTTGAGTTTAGTGCTCAGAATGCTACTTCCTTCCACTGCACAATTTATCTTTTCCTGCTTTGTAGGAAAAGGTAGTCACAGGCAGAACTGATGTATAATGGTTCTTTCAGGGACTATACTGAAGGCTGAATTGCAGAAGTGAGGAAAAAACATTTGTCTGTCTTCCTCCTCTGGTTCAGCAAAATCTAGACGAGTTCTAATGCAACAGGTCACTGCTGAGAGCTCAGGAACTGTTATGCTTGCAACTTAATCTTGACTGATAATGGTGCTGTCAAATGAATTACCTTCTGTAAAGAAGAGTGAGTCCAGTGAATCTTACTTTTCAACTTAGTAATGATATAAATTTTTCGCCTTATAGAAGTAGACAAAAAACTAATAGTAAACCCCAGACTCCTGAAAATCTGTCGTCTACACATGACTTTGCTGGTTATAGGAATATGTTTGCAGTTATTTAAATACTGTATTATCTTTGAGTTGCAGAAAGACAATGGGACCACTGGCATGCTGACAGAAAACGTGCTTCTCCAAGAAATTGAAGGGCAGAATCAAGAACTGTCAGCTTTTTCTCAAGCAGTTACAAAGTAAGAAATTACTGAACAAAAATTAGCTTTCAGAAGGGAAGAAAAAAGCAAAATGACTCATCTTCAGTTAGGTTGACAGGGCTGGTCCTACATTGTTTGCTTGATGGGTGGATTTCAGTATGTGTCCTTTTCCCTTTTCTTATCCCAGTTTTTCCTGGTTTTGTCTTGATTTTTTTTTTTTTTTCCCCAAGAATGTGACAGATGTTAAGGTGTTCAGTACTTAGGTTTTTGAATTATCATATCTCCTCTTTATTCTTTTGGTGCTGTGACTTTCCTCTCACTTTTTTCCTTGTTTTTATAATACTTTTTTATCCTCAAACTGTTTCTTGTATTTCTATATATCTGTATCTCCTATATATTTTTAATACACTTTCTTTTGAAAGAATTTGAAGTCTTTATTTTCTTAGTTGATACACCTCACTGAATCCTGTCACTCAGTGGCTTTCTAATCCTTAAATGCTCTCATTTTTATTGCTTCCACAACTAGAAATCTGTAACAAATAAAACCTTCAAACTTGTTCCTGCTTTGATCAGGTGGTGAAGTTTCTTAAAGGTCATACCAAAGAAGATGGGACTTGATAACCCAGAACACTCCTTCTAGTTTTTCTGCTTACTGCCACAATTTAATGAGAAATATTTTTTGGGGGGGGCTTTTTTCTTAGAGAAGACAAACTAGGAGTCTTGCCTCTTTTCCTCTCAAGATCAAAATCCAAGAACTAATGGGGAAAATAGAGATCTTTGAAGGATAACAGCTACTTTTTAGAACAGGAATGTTTATGAAATTGAAAGCAAACTTGATGAAACCAGTGAGAAGTTGTATGCCTGTGAGACTTACTGATGAACAACATTAAGACAAAGATGACATAAAATGGGCTTATTGAAACAGTTTCTAGTGAAATCTGGTTGTTGTCCTTTCTTTCAAGACCCTGTGCTTAAAATGCTGATGGGATTTTGACGGGAGAACACTTGTTAGAGGGATTCCTTTTTTTTTTTTTTTTTTTTTGTCCCCCATTCATACTATTGTCAGGGATTAAGATGATGAAATAGATTACTATTATAGATGAGTTCTGTTCTTAATCTCCTATAATATTACTTTAATGTTGGCAGAAGGTTAAGGTTAAATTATTTTATCTATGTTAAATAGCAGAAAATAAAAAGCAGCTATCAAAGTATGGTTGGTTCATCACTAGGTGAATGTTTTACACTGTGTCCTAAAGAAAAGCCTTTCCCTTAATTTAGGCCTCTTTCCTAACTTCTACAACTTGGAATAACTACCTTCTGTATAGTATCTAAATTCAGATTACATTTCCAAAAATTAAAACATGTAAAGAGTTTTGTGGTGTTTTGTACATAAAAGAAATTACCCTTTTTAAAACACATTTTTAGCAAATGCCATGGATTAGCTGTTTTAAAACTGTTTTAGAGCTTAGATTCTAAGGAAGCTGGATATGTCCTGTAAGCACTGACATATTAAGTATTTTTAAGCTATATGGAAAACCTGCCTAATTATAAGCTAGTTTTTTTTCCCCCCTAACTAACTACTTATATAATTATTGTGGGCAGTGTTCTGTTGAGAGTAGAAAAATTAAATGGTGTTTGGTATGTATAATTTAGGTAAAGAGCAAAAGGTAGTGTTTACTGTTCTGGCCTGTGGCTATTACCATGTTATTTTGCTGTAGTCTTAGACTTATCCTTTGCAATGCTTCATAAACCTTCTCTGCTTTCAGATTGAGGACCAAGTTTCCTTATGATAATCAGCAAACAAATCCAGGCTTTGTGCTGAGTCCAATCATGCTGCAAAGAAATATAAGTGGGGAGAGTGCCAGTGTCAAGGTTTCTATAGAAATCGAAGAATTCCAGCAACCAGTAACTTTTACATGTGATGGTATGTTTCTGCTTTTTTTAAATTGGAGTTGGCTTGTAATAATTAGAATGGTGGGTTAAGACTGTACATGCAGTCTAGGCCACTGGCTTTCAGTTTTTGTAATCCCTGGATCTCAGGTGTTCAGATTGCTTGTGGGGAACATGGAAAAGGTAACTGAAGAAAGGACCTAATTCTGGGTCAGAGCCTCTGTCATAAAATATTTAGGAGCTGAAAAAGTCAAACTTGTGGGTTTTTTTGTTTTTTTTTTTTTTTTTTAAAGAAAGCCAGAAAAACTAGAAGCACTATTCTGTCCACGTAAAATATTTAGGAGCTGAAAAAGTCAAACTTGTTTTTTTTTGTTTTTTTTTTTTAAAGAAAGCCAGGAAAACTAGAAGCACTATTCTGTCCACAGCTGAGAATGTTAAAATAGTTTTTCAAGAGTTTGACCTACTTTATGGTAATTGAGAGGATGACAACACCAGGACTGAGTTTCTTAACTTTAAACTTTTTATTTCAACACCCTAACGTGTGTTTTAAATAAACTTTTGCAGGCTCTCTCAAAATTTAGACAAATTGCTTTTGGGAAATAAGAATAAACACTGAAATGACTTATTACTTGACTTCAGTATACACTTACAAACACAAACATGAAAATAATACTGTTGTGATGTGCCACAGCTATCTGGTCCAGATTTCTGGGTAGCCAGGAGTATTAGTTTGGGGTGGAACTTTTAGGTTTGTCTTTTTCTTGTGCATAAATTCATATTCTCTGTGCAGTCAAGACTACACAGCATGTTTGCATTAAAGGCTGTAACTGTGGATGCTGTCAGCTTCTGGCAGTTCTTGGTGATAAAATAACTGATAATAAATTACCTCAAGGACAACTTACTTTTTAGCCTCTGTATTGATGTAGTCTCTTAGAGCCTTCGTGCAGGTTTCCATTCCCAGACCATGTCACCTGATAGTGGGTCTGTGGTGTGTTTTTGTCACTTGTTTCTCTATCAGTAACAGTGTAGATGCTTTAGAATTGGTTGTTTTCAAAAGATACGAAGTTGCTCTGTTACCCACTTAAACAGCTGCTCTCTTGGAAAACAAGTTCTCAATGCAGAAGTCTTTTCATTCTATATGAATTTGCTGGGCCTTATAGTTGTTCTGCTGTGATTTAATACTCTTCTGTCAGGAAGCGTGGTGGACTGTAAGTGTAGCCTAGGAAGGGTTTCTGCTCTTAACCCTTAAGATTACACTTTCCTAGTGTTACAGGCTTAATCTTTTCCTACAAAAGCCTTTGGTAGCGTGACTAAAATGTTACAACTTCAGCCCTTTATTTCCAGAAGTTTTGTGAATACCTTGGAATGTGTTTTGCATTCTAGCCCCATGTACCTTATTCTTTGCGCTTTCTGCTCTCTTCCTTTTTCTGATGCTGAAACTACTTGTCTTCCATAGCTAGTGAAAGACAGGTATCTGTAGCTCATATATGACTACTAACAGGGGTATTTAAAGCTATTCTCTTCCTTTAAGTCCTTCTGTTCTTGGTCAAATTGTTGCATACCTTAGCATCCTAATGCTAGAACTACTTTAGTATGGCTTTCAGTCCTGCTCAGAAGGAACTGCAGCCTTTCAATGTTCTGACAACACGTGTAGAAAGGACCCAGGAGAGAAACAGATGAACTTTAGAGCTTATTTGGGTATACCTATTAATTTTGCATTTGTTTACTAGACTTTACATGGAAGTGCAAGTCTACCTGAGCAATCATTGCGTGTCAGCAAGAAATGAATGTCTTTTGATAAGACAGAGGGAGGGAAAAAGGTGGTAACATTATCTTTGCATTACTCCACTAGGCAGGACTGGCAGACCTTCGCCAATGCAGCCTGTGACTATAGCCCATAAACTATTACTACATCTTTTTTTCTCTATCAAGCACCATATTCTCTGCTGAAGGTAGTACAGCAGTTTCAGTCTAGACTAGTAATAAGTTAAATAGTCTTAATAATGAGTTAGATAGTGTTTCTGAATTCATACTTCTTATCATTCCTTGTTCTTGAATTCCACATACTTATTCTTCATATGCTATCAAATACCTCTATGCTTGTAATAATTAGTCATCTGTCAATAAGGTGAAGCACTTGCATTATCTTCTGGAAAATATTGTTGTGGCACTGCCTCTCTGTATCTACCATAGTAGTAACATTTCTTTCTCAAAAAAAAAAAAAAAACAAACCCAAAATTCAGGAAAATTAGTAAGATTCCCGGAAGGTGGTGGTGGGGGGGAACGGAACACTTTGAAGGTACTAATGAAAAAATAAATTCTTCTGTACAGCGCTTTTTACAGAATTTTGAGCCACTTAGTGACATTGCTTGCAAATTATTTAAAGGAGAAGATCAGAAACTAGGGAGGGAGGGGTGTAGAGAGCATTTTGTACTTAAAAGGTTTGTGGTGTTAAAACATATCTATGTATTTTTGGTCAGTGACAGCTGGTGGCTGTGGCAGAATGGGATTGGGATTATTTCTTTTGCTCAGTAGTTGCTGGATGGAAGAGAGAAACTGTTTTCAAAAAAAGCATTTGGAGCCTGATGTGAAAGTTCTGGTAGCTAAGAGTTGCTTTTTGCAAAGGCTTGGTGATGCTTAGTGAGATCTGATCTGTATAATATGGAAACTCACCTAGACAAATGGAAAAGAAAAAGAAAAAAGAACTTTCAGTAGGATTTGCCTCTGCTACAGCTGATACTGACTTCCTCAAAAGCAGAAGAAATAGAGAAGTTCCTTCTCTATCTCCTCAGATAATGATTTTTAAACTTTAAGCAGCTCTGGATCACTTACCTATCTGAAGTTCTTGCTAAATAAGGCAAATTTATGATTAAAAAAAAAAAAGGCTATCCTCATATAAAAACTGGAAAACAAACTGCAGACTGTTTTTATACTTTTGCTCAAGTGACTACCCTACATACTAATTTAAAAAGGATTTATTGATTCCTTAAACTACAGGCAGTTTTTATAAGATGCCTTTCTTTGTGGGGGAAAAAAGTGAAGATCTCGAACTGTGAAATTTAGGAGATAATAGAAACACTAGAGTCTTCCCTACAAGTATAAAAATAAATTTCATTAATTAATGACAATTTATGGGTGAACAATGGTTAATATCACTTGCTTTAGATTTATATTTAACTTTTAGATGTAATTTCTTTAAACAGTGAGTTCCCCTGTTGAGCTTATAATAATGCAGGCACTTTGCTGGGTACATGATGATTTGAATGAAGTGGACATTGGCAGCTATATCCTGAAAGTCTGTGGCCAAGAAGAAGTTTTACAGAAGTAAGCAAACTCTTTTTCATTAATATTTAACTTCATGCTTTTTCATGGCACCGTTACTGGAAAATATATCTTTAATGATTAAATGTGTGAAAGCAGAAATCTTAAAAACATAAAAGCGTTACACTTTGCACAAAGATCAGAAGTCTCTAGAGTTGCTCTGGGATACAGCAAAGTAGGTTCTCAACAGCTTCCTAGAAATCTGTTCTAATCTGCCATCTGTTCTGTTGAACACAAACAGTTTTTTTCTGGTGTAGATCTCTTACCTGGCAGGGGAGACACCATGATCAGGCAGGTGGTTTTCCCAGGGCGAGGCTCATCCCCTGCACTCCGGGCGTGCTGACCCCTGCGATTTCCCCAAATGCGGGAAACTCGACTGCATAATTTGTGGTAGTGGGGGACTGCGTTCGCGCTCTCCCCTGCTATGAATTTTTCTAGGGAAGTAATAGTGCCCCTGTACTCGGTGCTGGTGAGGCCGCACCTTGAATCCTGTGTTCAGTTTTGGGCCCCTCACTACAAGAAAGACGTTGCGTTGCTGGAACATGTCCAGAGGAGAGCAACAAAGCTGGTGAGGGGTCTGGAACACAAGTCATATGAGGAGAGGCTGAGGGAACTGGGGTTATTTAGTCTGGAGAAGAGGAGGCTGAAGGGAGACCTGATCGCCCTCTACAACTACCTGACAGGAGGCTGTAGTGAGGTGGGGGTCGGCCTCTTCTCCCTGGTAACAGATGATAGGACGAGGGGGAATGGTTTGAAGCTGCGCCACAGCAGGTTTAGGCTAGACATTAGGAAAAACTTCTTCACTGAAAGGGTTGTCAGGCTCTGGAATGGGCTGCCCAGGGAGGTGGTTGAGTCCCCATTCCTGGAGGTTTTTAAAAGAAGGATAGATGAGGTGCTTAGGGACATGGTTTAGTGGTGGGATGGCAGGGTTAGGTTAAAGGTTGGACTCGATGATCTCAAAGGTCTTTTCCAACCAAAGTGGTTCTATGGTTCTATAGCATTTCTGTAGATGGATGTTGTACTTTTCAGCTGCTCTTCAAATCCCAGTAACCAGGAAAAAAAAATCTGATGATGATTTCTAATAAACTGAAATAATCTGTGGTTTTAGAGCTTTAACAAAAGTATAGGTACCTGTAATAGTATACTAAAACTTCTGCAGAAGTAAAAATCAGATCAAGAAGTATGGTGTCGAGGTTGATTCACCATTTTGTTTTTATGAGCCAACAGGTTGCCTTAAATAGCCCATGTGAGTTGTTTGAAAAACACTGCGTATTTTTGGTGTGACTATAGCTTTCTTCTGTTTAACAGTAAGCACTGCGTAGGAAGTCACGAATATATTCAGAACTGTCGGAAGTGGGATATAGAAATCAAACTGCAGCTCTTGACCCATAGTGTAATATGCAGAGATCTGGCGCGAACAGTAAGTACCTCCTGAACTGCAGCAGCAATATAAATTTTCAAGACTTTGGGAATTTGCATCAGTTGGATTTGAGGAGTAACCTTTTTATGTAATTAACAAATTAGTATGTCTGCTTGGTGTTGAGAACTGTATTCTCTATACTAAGAGGAAATGAAATACGTACTGAATTTTTGCAAGGTAAATAATATAAATATGGATAATCTCTCTTACTAGACGAAGTACTATAGCTGGAAAAAGTGTGCAAGCTTTTGGACTAAATTTGAGTCCTGAAAGAGAAAGCAGCAAATTTCAGAGTTAAATAAAAGTTGAGAACAGTTTCTGAGTTTAATTAGGTACATCCAGGAGGAAGGGAAGAATATTTGATACCTGCATAGTTAAGCACTCGACTGCTGTTTCTTCCCTCTTCCCCCATCCCAATGTGTACATGTTTCGTAGGCTATTAATTTGTTATTTCTTTTCCACTTTGAAGAGATCACCTTATTTTTCCCCTTCTACTCCATGGGTATTAGTAATGAAACTTCTAAAACAGTATTACAGATTACAGAAAGGCGAGAACTGGACTTAATATCTAATTTTTTATTGCAGGAAGATGATGACAGAACACCCATACATCTAACCAAACACCTTTATAAAGTAGAAAAGCCTTTCAGAGAACCTATTATAAGGTAATGTTACGTGGTTATTTTAGTAATCAAGCCTGCTGCTGAATTTCTCACCAAGGTTATGTTATTCTCTTGCACTTGTGTTCAAGAATTACTATTTTTTGCAGGTCTTCTATTGAAGAGCTTCTTGATGTGTATCACAAGCAAGTTAACATAGCTCTTAAAAATGAGGTAAGGGCATCGTAAATTATTGCTGAACCAAAAGTAGCATGAGAAAGCTTACTAATGAGATAGTTGGAAAAAAATACTTTCTTGAGGAAACTGAGATCTGAATAAACTGTCAAATGTAAATTTGAAATCATGGATTTTTAGATTGCTTTTCCTCTCTTCTTCCTAGCTTTTCTTGCAAACTAATTATTACCTAATTGTCGCAGCTAGAAATGTATCTTCCAAGTCCTGGGGTGCAAAATAACCTTTTCTTCAAAGATGTTGGAAGAGATTAATTTAGAGGAATAGGGAAAAGGCCTGAATCCTATGTCAGTTGTTGTCAGCTGTGAATGATATATTGGTAACAGATAAAAATTTACACAAAAGTGAGCAGTAATAGTTGTGTACAATGGGAGTTATAAATGAAGCATGTTTGGAACATACAAGTAAGTTTTACACAAAGTGTAATAACATCTTATTCTGCACTATTGGCTTAATTTAAAATACACTGAAAATGGTTGCCTGCTTCAATGTATGATAGGTATCTTAAAACAGCTTGCAGGTGGAGTAGTTTGGAGTAATTTCCCAAATGCAAAAGCTAGCTGAAGATAACCTGCTTTACTCATTTCTAAAAGGAGAAGCTTAAACTCCTGATAGTACTGTAACCTGGAGACTTAAATTCTTAAAGATTAGATGACTATGTTTCTTACACAGTTTCTGTAAGAACAGCCTTTAAATGAGTGACTTAATTACAGTACTTTTCATTTTCACTATGTTGGTTTGCCTCCCTAGGAATGCAGGTCTGAACAAGCTGATGTCCACTATTTACTTATTCCCTTAATGTTATTTAATTCTCTTGATGGTGATCCACCATGTTCTCAAGGGTAGTTTTGAACACAATCTTTTTGTAGAAGAGTGAGATGTTACTCCTCCTTGATATGGTGGTGTTTTTGTTTCTTTGCTCTTGCAGCTGCTTCAGCTTGCTTGTTTAACTGTGGTTTTACAGGGTGAGGTGAGGAATGCAAAACATCTCAATTCAGACTTGCTTTCTGCTCTTTCTGCAGTGTTTTTGAGGATGAGAGATGCAGCTTGTAGGTGATGATGATTAGGTCGAAATATCAGCAGTTGTTTAATTTGAAATTTTTTACTTCGTGAAGTGAATTTCTGTACAGGTTCAGTAGCTCAAGCTTGCTAATCTAAGTGAAATAGGGTAAAATAATCCATAAATAACTTGTTTATAGCCTTTGATTTCACATTGTGGGACATCTAACAGTTAGCACAGTTAGCTATTGTCTTTTTGTTGAGATTAATTTGAGAGCCTGTGAGGAAAATAGCAGTGGGAAACCAGCTGTTATCTTCAAAGTGTTAGCTTTGAAAGTATGGCTTAAAAATTTACAATGTCTTCTGACTTCTATGGCTATTTTCTTACCATGACAAAGTTAATTGTTGCCAGGTAACTCCCAATCCCAAAACTTTTTTATTCAAATGGTTTCTTTGCTATCTGTTTGTAGGAAGATCATGAGAATATGTCTGGGGTTGGGAATTGGTTTACATTTTACCAAGAGGATATTAGGCTAATCCCTCTTACTTAGTTGTAAGTGCCCATAAGTGACTGTGAAAGAAACCTATACATTAAGCCTTTAAAAAGTAAAGTTACTTTGAAGCAAATATTTTCTTTTTCTACATGTGTTCTTTAAAATGGCATTAAGACTTTGCTTATATTAAAAAAACAAAACCCAAGAAACCTAGTAATATTTAGATTTAAATTAAGTAGCTTTTCTTCTATTTGAAAAGAAGGAAGGAAATATTAGGAGCATCTCAACTGTGTCTTAAACAGCCTACCAGCATTTTCATTCTCTGATAAGAAGTTGATCTGATCCTTTCAAAAGAGATGCCTGTTAAGTGTGCAATCCTCCTTCCTCTCCTTCTCCAGTTTGCAATTACTTCATCTGGAAGAACCTTTTAAATTAAATAATATGTAAAGCAAAAGTTGCAAAAGCTTTTTTCAAAGGTACATGAAGTGAAGTAAAAAGATGACTTTCTGTTATGGAAGCTATACTGTAGTGTAAGTGTAACTTGAAGCTATGTGTTTGTTTTAAGAGGGCTGAAACTGAAACACTGCTTCTTTAGCATTCCTTCCTCACACTAATTGAATATCCTTTTTGAACTATGCTTTCTTTTTTTTTTATGCCATGAGGGAATTTGAGCTCAATATCTCATTAGAAAACACTTGTCTGCCTACAACTTAATCGAAAAATCATTGGAAACCTCCTAATGTTTCCTGGGACACAGTTCTAAAATCTGTACTACTCCTCTGTGGTTTTTGAATTGATAACTGAGCTATAAGGAAGTTCTCAATAATGAGGTTTTTGTTTAATAGAACTGTTACACCACAGTTTAATGTAATTGAGATATGCATCTCATAATGAAATTTTCTTGGCAATTCGTTCTAAAAAAAAAAGGTAATAAAAATGAAAGCAGCACTGGGTTTTGCAATTGTGATCAGATCAATCTGTTCTTTCATACATTCCTTATTAGAACCAGCATAAAGCAGTAGATCACGTAATTAAGACTGTCAGAAAAATCTGTTCTACATTGGACTGTGTAGAGACTCCTGCAATAACAGAATCGGTAAAGAAGCTAAGGAGGGCTGTTAATCTTCCAAGGACTAAAAATGCTGAGGTAAACTTTCACTCTATAAATTTAATTCTGAGGTATGCTTTTTAACACTGATAAATACAATTTCATAATCTTTGGTAACTGCAAATATCAGCAACAGTTCAGTCAGTGTTATGTAGTTGTGTTTGGTTTTGGTTTTTTAATTTTACTTGATATCTTCCATTTATTTTAACATCTCTTTGCTGTTAATGCGTTAATCACTTGCTCTTGGAATCCTTTCCTGTTCTAAATACTGACTTTTTTAAAAAACTAGTTTTAGAATACTGTGTTATGGTTCTGTAACTACAGACTTGTGTCACAGCAGATGCTACTAAATCTGACCAAGGGAAACTGATGGCTAGCTCATGCACTCTAAAATCAATGCTGTTATCCTTAAAGGAGGAATTCACATCATGTATTTTCTGTGCAGTATTTATGTGAATAGCAATAGCATCTTAAATCTCTTAACAGTTCATGTTCCTGCAGTCCTGAGCATATAGACAAAAATAAAAATCTCTCAAATAGCACAGATAAAACTTCCTTGCAATGAACAATTCACTTGAGCAGAATTGATCTCAAGTCATGTCGTCAAAAACAGTCATTAAATGGAGAAAGTGTGCAAATAAAAAGGCTAAATTGTAATGCTATTTCTGTTGTCCTGCTTCCTTATTAGAGTGGCGATTCATGGGCTGTTCTATTCACTTTTGGCTTAGAATCATGGAATGGTTTGAGCTGGAAGGGACCTTTAAAGATCATCTAGTCCAACTCCCTTTTTAAAAGCATTTTAAGACTAGTTCCACTTCTCATGGAAGCAGAAATAATTGATACTTGAATTCTTAAGTCTTACCTAATCAGTCCCTGTCCTCATCTCACAGAATGCATTGTAACGCATTTACTGGGCAACTGTTACATGTGCACTGTTATATGAAGGCTGGGTTGGACTCATCAGTTCAATGATATATTTGTAGTACTGAGCAGAAGTCTTGCAAAATGCATGAACTAAATAAATACGGTTGTCACAAGAACTAAAATTCTTGCGGGGAAATGCAGGAAATACTAAGAAAACTTAGTGAAATACAGGGTATCAAATATTTCTTCAATGATTGCTTTTTGCTAGGAGAAAGCTGTAGAAATAATTAGATTATTGTGTAAAAATAACTTAAAAAATAATGCTATCCCAGTAGAATTTGGGAAAAAACAAAACAAACAAAACCAACTTTTTTATCAGTAAACCCCTGCAGTTCTCATGCAATGAACATTACCATTTAAGCCAATGTGCATTAAGGCATATAGGATTGCTTTCAGAAATGAAATTGCTGTAAAGATTGGAGCCAGTTGCGTCTAAACCTTATTTAAGACATTGGTTGATTTTTTTTGTAATTGTTTTGTGGTTGGAAGAAGTGGCCAAAAAGTAAAAGAAAACAGTAGATTGTCAAGTAGAAATTTACATGTGTAGTGCTGTTTCAACAGTTTGGCATCCTGTCATCTGAAAGTACTTGTACTACTTGACAAGTATGGTAGAAACATATGGCATTTTTTATGAAAGGGGAAAATGATGTGATATTTATTTTTTCCCCTAAGTTTCTGCATGTTTTTTAGAAAAATGTGAAGGTTTTTGGTACTTAAAACTCAATGTTGACAAGATGCTCAATTAATACACTGAAATGGTAAGGAGAGCTTTCATTTTTCTGCAGTAGTGGTGGCAAACCTTAGACTTTCTCTGAAGTATTCAGAATTCACTGGGTTTTGTTTTTAAATCACAAACATAGATTTCATTAGAAGTTTTAGTTTTTTTAGAAGTTGAATTTGGCATGAAAGCCTTCCTTATTAGAAGGGAGTAAATTCCCATGATTTGTTTGCCACCTTTTGGCTTCAACAGCGTCCTTGTTGAGACTAGACATTGCTGTAGTACTGTATCATATTTAGACTTCCAGTTTAGCAGACCAAGAAGCAAACACAGCAGATAATACAAAGTGACAGTACTTGCTGTTCAGTTTTCTCAGTTGTTTATGCAGTAAATTTATAGTAAGTCTGTAAGTAAGATGCCTTAACAAATGCCAGAAACAAAACAGCTGTTCAGGGTTAAATTACTGGGTAATAGAGCGAACAGCTTCTGCTTTCATCTGTAACAGCCCTGACTGAATTTTATCTCTACTCAGAGTATCCTGAGCAATATTCCAATGTACTGTGTCTTTTAAGAGTTCATAAAGGGTCTCAAAATAGTTGTGACTTGAGGAAACATGAGCTTTTGAACTTGGTGAATAGTTGCTGCATGGTATGGAAATTGTGTTGCTGCCAGTTAACTCTTGAGGAACTTTGAGTAAAAAGATATTGTTACATGAACCCAAATATGGGCCTAATTCAGAGGTTTAATAACTTCCGTACAAGATACTTAAGAGCTATGGAAAATTAATATGGGTTTCTTGGTACTGAAATTTGATCTAATTTTACTGTGTAGGTATCCTTAAAATGTGGTGATGACACAAGCAAGAACTCATCTGGTGAGTAAAGTTCTTCAATTTTATTTAAAAACTGCTTTCAGGTGACTTTTAGGAAGATACACATTAAACATACATTATAATTTAGATTCACTGCAGCCTGAAAACCCTCTGAAAGTGAGTATAGACCAGTTAACAAGAGCGGTTTTGGTTGAGCCCCTTCTGCAACTCCACATGAATTCATGTAGCAGTTCTGCAGCAATTCCTCCAAAAGATCCTAAGAGCACTAAGGAAGCATGGACTGCCACAGAGCATCTCCAGTTCACAATATTTGCTGCTCACGGAATTTCTCCTGGTTGGGTATCAAAGTGAGTAATATTATCAATTATAAAATTCCTCCTTTTATAGCTTTTTGTTTGTTTGTTTAATTTACTTTCTTTTCCTTGTCCAGTTATGAAAAATACTACTTGATTTGTTCTCTGACCCATAATGGAAAAGATCTGTTTAAGCCTGTGCAGTCCAAGAAGGTTGGCACATACAAGAACTTCTTCTACTTGATTAAATGGGATGAACTGTAAGTGACTTCAGCATGTTAAAACTCACTAAAATATTTTGGTTTAGCTAGTACCTACCTAGCTAGCTGCTGAGTACAGTCATTCAGACAACTCTTGCTTCTGATTCCATTTTAAGTGTTGAAAGAACAATGTGTGAGACTGACTTATCAAAATCAGAAATATTTTGCTAAATGGTGTTTCACTACTCATTTTAAAAGCAGGGACAAGTGCCCTGTGCTAATGTGTTTGTAGTATACAATTATAAGGAGTTGGGAAGGTCATAGCATTCCTTGTAATGGGAACAGCTTGTGCTGCTTAAAAAGGATGAATAAAGCTTGCTTATAAGCAGTGCTCAAATTATGTAAATAGCGAGGAAGAGCAATTCACTAACATTAATGCTGAATCATTTTTTGGTCCAGATACATTGTAACAACTTTGTATCTGAATTTAAACATCTCAGGGTTATTTCTATAAAGAGAGCAGATGCTTAAGCGCTTAAGAGTATCTGTCCATAGCATATGAGAATGTCTGAGCTACTAAACTTCAGTTTCTCTTTATGGGGCAAGGGAAGAGGGTAGAAGGGAAGAAGGAAGGCCATGCAGAGGAGAAATAAGGAGAGGATGGCAGGTGATATCTGATAATTGAGAGGGGAAAGTATTTTTCATCATCTATGCACAGCTTACTCTTTTCCACTTTTAGTAGTTATCAGGCAGAATGTCATAACTGGAGCTTCAGGTGAGCTCCACACTGCCCTATATCTATTTTCCTGACTGTTTTTCAAGGTCAGTGATAGACCCTGGGGAATACCCTGGAAGTCTACAGTGACAAATTATTTCAGACTAGGAATGAGAGTTTCAGATTCTAGAATACCTGTCTTCAGGGAGTACTCAAACTACCTTTTTTTTTTTTTTTTTTTTCCCCAGTGATGCAAGGGATAATTGTCAGATCTTTTGCTAGCGAGTACTAGTGTATTACAGTGAAAGATGTGTTAGATTGCTTATAAGCTGTTTAATAGAGTTGTAGGGTTTTATAGTATAACTGGCTTAGTCATATGCTGTGATAACTTTTAGAGTGATATTTTGGTGTGTTACAAAAAATCAAACTTAAAGAACATGTTAAGCAATAAAAAGTATAAACAAAAATCCGAGTTTGAATTGCTCAGTGAGGTGTATACTCCTCAGCTGCTTTCTTCATGCGTTCTAGTGTTGTACCATTTGAATTTAGCTTTCAGTAGTTCCTAATAGATTCTTTCATTTGTATAGGAAACTATTGTCAGCTGACTCTAAATCTGAGAGATTAAGAGGCAGCTAACATGGAATTGTGTGTGTCCTTGTAGTAAGTAGAGTGGGAAGACTGGTTATTCTGGACAGTGTGGTTCTGTGTAAGGAATGAGATTTAATAGACAAAGATTAAAAAGGGTTGTTCCAAATATGGCTACAATGCAGAAGTGTAATTTAGCAGGTTTTGCAAACTATTGGTGCGGGAGGTAAAGTGAAGTGAAATATAACTACATGGAAATGTAACACTTGTTCTTCAATGTTAATTAACTTTTTGAAAGCAAGAAGCATAAATGGGTTGTATGGGTAAGCCTCTAACTTACTAACAACTGTCTGTCCTCTGACTGACTTAGTTTTAATACTTTTATTTTCCAGAATAATTTTCCCAATCCAGATTTCACAGCTGCCTTTGGAATCAGTCTTATGTCTGACTTTGTTTGGAATTCTAAATCAAAGTAGTGGGAGTTCTCCTGACTCAAATAAGCAGAGAAAGGGCCCAGAAATTTTGGGTCAGGTTTCTCTACCTCTTTTTGATTTTAGGCGGTAAGTATCCAAAGTACGGGCAAGATTATTAATAATTATTTACACTATATAAAGCTTACTCCATTCCCATAACTATAGAACTGCTTCTCTGCCACTGAATGTAGTAGGCCATGATAAAGGAAAGAATTGTTAACTGTATTGTTACGAAATAATACCTTCAATTAAATAGAGTACGAAACAATCCTGTGTTGTAGTATTTCCATCTAACTGGTTGAAAAAACCTGCTGGAGGAGGTTGAATATTGTTTGAATGAAAGTGGTTTTATTTGCAGGAAATCTTCATAGTAACATGGGCCAAAAGAGGTCATGTTAGTACCAACTGTTTTTAAGTGTGTAGCAGTTGAATATGTAAACATAACTTGAGTTGTCCTTTGAGGAATCCACTGACATTCAGGTGTTGCCCTAGAAGTCATACGCAGTTAAAGTATCTGCAGGTGTCACTGTCTACTGAACTGATAGCCTCCCTTCTACTGAAGGAGTATGGTCTTGGTAGGTGGCATTTTATGAGTTCTAATATCTGATTAGAAGGTCTAAAAGTGCATTATATTGGTTAGAAGCAGTTCAGCCAGTATTCACACATATTTTAGCAGATGAAGTGCAAACAGCCAGTTCTCAGCCAATTCATGAGCCATGGTGATAGGGAATGCA